AGATTTATTACGACTTTTTATATAAAATGATAATTATATTTAATATATATATTGAATAAATTTCAATAATTAAAAGTAGTAATCAAAATTTTATATAAGTATAAAATATATATGATTTGTGTATAACTAGATCTAACTCATATTTAATATATTTAAAATTTATTTTAATAACAATTTATATATTTTTAGAATAATAAAAAGATATAAAAATTACTCCATCAGGTCTAATATAATTGTCTCATCTTGACTTTTGCATAAACTTTGATCAGATGATTCTATATACTAAATAGAAGATAATTTAAAATATTTTTTTTTATATATGGTTTTTGTTAAGTATTTTTATTTAAATAAAAAATTTCAATTATCATTCATTATACTATATAAAATCATCATACTATATAAAACTATCAAATTAATTTACATAAAATTAAGGGATTAGAATACCAAAAAAATAAAAAAAAACAAACAAATAGAGTAAAAGCTAAAGCATTAACAAGCATTCTTAAACAAATCCTAAGTTTATCAAGTTAATTGATAAAGTAAATTTTACCACGTAAGTAGAATACTAATAAAATGGATCTCTCTTCCATTCATCAAAAATTGAGTGAACCAACATGCGGCTTTACTTTAAGTTGATGTGGTTAATAGACCATTGTTTGGAAAATCTTTCTGTTAATATATATGAGAAATGAGTTTTTCAAGTATAAACTGCATTTTTAAAAATTGAAATTATTAAAATATTATTAATCAATAAACATGAAAAGTAATTTTATTAAAAATATTTTAATAATTTTAGTATCTAAACAGCACAAAAAAGGTGCAATCTGTTTTGAAAAATATTTTTCTATATATATGAGTGAAAAAAATACATATCAATCTTAATTTTTAAAATAAATTGAATTATCAATTTTAAACTTTATTAATTTATTTAATTAAAATTTAATTAAAAATATAAAAATTTATCTTATTAAATATTAATATTTAAATTTAAAACCTTGTGTAATATCATGTGACCACTATATAGCTTTTCTACTTACACTATCAAGCTCAAACCTCTTGTTTGCCATTCCCCCTCTGCTTCCCCAATTCCCCTAGTTTAAAATAAAAATACTTAAATTTAAAAATTAAAGGTATTAAAATATATAATCAATTTTTAAATATTAATATATATATTTAATATGATAAATTTTTAAATTTTAAATTAAAATTTACTTTTAAAATATAAATTAAAATTTTAATTATTTTAAAAATTAAAATTAATATGCAGTACCCTGGACATATATATATATAGTTTTTTCTGGGTAGGATCCTAACAATTACCCACTATGAGTTGGGTTCGCTGTTCAAAACGCTATTAATTCTGTTTTCCCCTTTTTGGCAAATAGCTGTTAATTCAGTTCTTTCAATCAATAGCAATTAATTCTGTTGGGTGTCAACAGTCAACCGCTATCAAAACAACCGTCCTCCAAGTGCTTAACCCAAAAAGGCATCAAAATTAGCTTAAATTGTTCATTTGAACCTCAATTCTTGCACATAAATACCCCATAAGTTAATGTAAGAGAAACAAGGTTGAGAAAAATAGCATGGAAAAATCCCTTCCCTCTTCACCCTTCTCCATTTTCGTCCTCCTCCTCCTCCTCCTCCCCTTTCTCACTCACCATGTCAAACCAATCAACGGTTTCCCTCTTTCCACCGACTGTCGGTGGATCGTTGACGACCATACCAAGCAACGAGTCAAGCTAGCGTGCGTCAACTGGGTTTCCCATCTTGACACAGTTGTGGCGGAGGGGCTGAGCAAGCAGCCCTTGGACATGATCTCCAAGCAGATTGTGTCTATGGGGTTCAACTGTGTCCGCCTCACTTATCCTACTTTTCTCGCCACCGACGACTCCTTGGCATCTCTCACCGTTCGGCAGTCATTCCAGAACCTCAACTTAACAACATTCATCGCCGGTATCGAGAAAAATAATCCGTTCTTCCTTGATCTCTCCCTTATTCAAGTTTATCAGGTAAAGTCTATTAACAATCACGTGACTTGTTTCGTAACATTGTTGTTCTTTTTCTTTTTCTTTTTTTTAACATTTTAATTACAAAAATCAAAATAAAAAATTTTGAGAAATTAAACATTTTCAGTTTGTTCATTAATTTTGAATGGCTTTAATTTCTAATTCTAGTTTTCAAATTTGAATTTTAATTATGGAATGTGTTTTCAGGCAGTAGTGTCCAACCTTGGGGACAACAACATAATGGTCATACTAGACAATCATTTAACCAAGCCTGGCTGGTGTTGCAGTAACAACGACGACAATGGATTCTTCGGTGACAAATACTTTAACCCCGATCTATGGATCCAAGGCCTAACCCGGATGGCCACCCTGTTTAAAGGTGTCTCAAATGTAGTCGGCATGAGCCTCAGAAACGAGCTTAGAGGCCACAAACAGAATGTGGGTGAATGGTACAATTACATGCCAAAAGGTGCTGAAGCAGTGCACTCAGCCAACCCAAATGTCCTTGTCATCCTTTCCGGCTTGAGTTTTGACACAGACTTGTCGTTCCTAAAAACCCGACAAGTGAACCTTTCCTTCACCGGAAAACTAGTTTTTGAGATGCACTGGTATAGTTTTACGGACGGAGGTGTGTGGGGAACTGGAAATCCCAACCAGGTTTGCGGAAAAGTGTCACAGAGGGTGATGGATGCAGGGGGATTTTTGCTGCAGCAGAAGTACCCATTGTTTTTGAGCGAGTTCGGGTTGGACCAGCGAGGTACCAATTTGAATGACAACAGGTACTTGAATTGCCTGATGGGGTTAGCAACTGAGCTTGACTTGGACTGGGCGTATTGGACACTGCTTGAGAATTATTACTTGAGAGAGGGGGTCATTGATGCTAAAGAAAGTTATGGGATCTTGCACTGGAAAAGGTGTGAAATCAGGAATTCAACTATGCTCCAAAAAATTTTAGCCCTGCGACATCCTTTCCAAGGTAAAGAAAAATTTAATTCCTTGTTCTTACTTGTTCTTAACTGTTAAATAGGAAATCCTAAGACCAAATATAATACGAATATTCTATTTATTGTCAATTGTTTTCAGATTAAATGCTCCTTTTGTGTTTCGATCCATGTGTCAGAATTTTATATTAACAAAGTTCCAGAAGATTTGAGTCACAATTTATCTGTTTGGTATGTAGGGCCAGGACAAGAATCTGGACTTCATAAAGTGATTTTTCATCCGGGAACGGGACTTTGTGTCCAGAAACAAACATTGAATGAGACATTGCCATTGGGTGATTGTTCAAAATCTGAAGCTTGGAGTTACACAACAGAGAAGAGTTTAGTGCTAAACGGGACATCTTTCTGTGTGCAAGCTGATGAATTGGGGAAGTCTCCAAAACTTGGGGTTAACTGCAGTGACTCCAATTCAAAGTGGGAAATGACATCGGATTCAACGATGCATCTTTCATCTAAGCTAAGCAATGCCAATGGTACATTGGTTTGCCTAGATGTGGACTCTAGCAGCAGAGTTGTTATAAATCCATGCAAATGCTTGAGCGAAGATCATACATGTGACCCTGCAAGCCAATGGTTCAAACTAGTTGACAGCACAAGGAGTCCTTCCACATAAGTCTTTCACTTTAATGATTTAGTATTATTTCTTTTCAAGGAAGCCATCTATAATCCTGAGCTGGTGTGGTGGGCTTTGAGAAGGGTAACACGACTCGAATTTTGGGATGAGTGAGGTAATGTTCAATCAAAGAGAAGGATTAATTTTTTTTAATAGAAAAAGAATACTTTTATTATATTGTTTATCATTGTTATTTTTTTAAAAAAAAACTCAGCAATAAGTAAGAAGATTTCAAAATTTTTTCATTTTACTCCAATGTCGCCAATAGTAGTATTAAAATGTTCTTTAACCCTAAATCTTTATTTAATTCTATTTATTATTACTATTCTTTAAAAGCATTTATTATATGATAAGGGTTATTTATTATTCCTAATTTTTTATATAAATATTTATGACAATAATTGGTTGTTTAGCAGCAAAAGCCTACCTTTAACCCTTCACCTTATCAAGATTAAAGTTTTTAGTCCATCATCTTATATTATAACATTTTTAATCCTTCACTTTATTAAATTTATAAGGTTTAACTACTCACCTTATTTTATGATACTTTTAACCTCTCACCTATCAAAATTGAAAAAAATTGCCCTCACTTTGTAACATTTTATTAGTTTTGTTAGCTAATTGTTAACTCCATTAACTGACTATTAGTTGATTGTTAGCTGTCAAAAACCTTCTTTCAATTAACAGAGTTAACAAAACTAAATTTATTTTTTAATTTTGTTAATTAACTATTAGTTGACTGTTAATTGATAAAAATATATTTTTAATTAACAGAGTTAACAGCTAATATAAAATGAGAGTTATTTTTTTATTTTAATAAATGAATGACTAAAAGCTACAAATTTAATAAAATAATGGGTTAAAAGTGTTATAATATAAAGTAAAGAGTTAAAACCTTCAAATTTAGTAAAGTAATGAGTTGAAATTAGGTTTTAGGCTTGTTTAGAGCCTAGTTCATTGATTGTGGGTTTGGGAACCAAACACCGGCCCGAAAGTTTTTGGTCTTGGACTGTAACCAAACTTTTGGACTCGAAATCTAAATTTGGGTCAGTTTTTGAGCCACTGTTCGGTGGGGGACTTTCTTGCCCAGTCCTAACTCTATCATTTAATTCTGACTCCGTCCTGGCTATCACATGATAAATACCATATTTATTTTATAGTGGCAACTTAAGTTGAATTTATTAATAAATAAATATTATTTTATAAATTAAATTAAAAATTTAAGTTTGAGATTAATATTTAAAAAAATTAATGTTTTTGAATGCAATAAATTAATGTGAGAAGTGCACTTTGACCAGAAAACATCTAATAGTAAATAAAAATAAAATTTAATAATTAAAACTATTTTTGCATATGAACTTATAACTATAAACTGTAAGAGATTGTGGAAAACTATAACATCCTCACAATTACAATGTTAAGATTTTTTATAAAATTATTTAAATATTCTTAATGAATTAATAAATAAAAAATTTATTCAAATATTTAATTAACTTCATAATAAATTCTAACAATTTAAATATCAGTATTTCTTATTTTTTTACTTTTCAATTAATTTAAATGACTAATTTTAATTTTAAAATAAAAAATTTTAAATTACAATAGGTACCAAGCCAATCTCTTATTGGTAAGTGTACCTCTTAAAGATCATGCTGGTTTTGAGGAAGTAAGGACTTTAGGAATTTTGAATTTCTTCGGTGAGGTGTAAAAGGCCACTCATTTTAGTGCGAAAATTTCGGTGAGGAAAATTTCAGTTTTACTAGTTTTTAAATTTTAAATTTTAAACTGAAAAGAAAATATTTCATTAGATAATAATTTATCTTAAATAATTTTTAAATCAAATGAGTATTAAAAATAGTATTAAATCAAATGGTGTATTAATAATTTTTTAAAAAATATGTTCTTTTATTTAATTTGATATATTTACATGTTGAGTCTTAAATACAGTAAATTATATTTTTTTTTACAATTTAAAAATATTTCCTCAAATGAAATATCAGATATGGAATTAAACACTTAACTATTTATAAGATATCTTAAGGAATTAAATTTGAACCGCTTAATTAGAGAGACATTGGTTAATATTTAAAACCCTCAATCTTGCAATGGAAATGAATTGCACCATAGAGAGTGAAGAGCACAAAAACAATTTGAGAATTAAAAGCAATGATCTATATAGTAGTCCACAATCTCAAAATTCCCAAATATTAAAAGGATTGAAAGGGATGCAACCGCAAAGTGCAAAATCAATGTTTTTTAGGGTATATGTGATGGTCCCCTATGTTCTCCCATCTTGCTCGCTGTGGCTATCCGGCGGCCTCATACAGTGGCCATATCATAAATTTGTAATACAAAGTATAAGAATGGCCGGGGCAGGTGCATGTGTGGACCAACACAAAGTCATTGCAAGAAAACTTAGAAAAGGTAGGATCTATGAGCTGGCATGTTTTTTCTTTTTTTCTCCCCTGTTTAATTTAGGACGTACTTCCCTATTCCATTCTTTGCCCTCCACCTTCTCTCCCCCACCCCAATTGTTGTACCACTGACCCATCCTCCCAAGTGGCAATTACCAGAAAATACATTATGAGACCCAAGGGTGGTGAATAAGAGGGTATGCCTTGAACCCCATTGATCCTTGCTTGATTTTTTTTTTTTGAAGAGGTTAATAAGAAAGTAATTTTTTATGAAATTTAGTCTCAATATAAATTACTTATTTTTAATTGAATTAAAAAAGTGTGTTTAATCTGCTATTCAAACACTAACATATGATACTATTGTAAAAGCAATGGATACACACCCATTGCTTTTACAACTACCTGAGTGCTAAAATATACCTTTGAACACAAGCAATTTCAGCCCCCCAACAAGCCCTAGATTTGAACGTGTTTTAATTTGTAAATAACGTTTTAAATCTAAAATAACATATTGGGTTAGAGTGGGTTTAAGTTATAATTAATTTAAGTTAACAACTTAAATAATTTAATAATAATTTCTTTTTCAGTAAAAATAATAGATCTTGAGTTTGAATCACATGTATGAAATATAGTGAATTAAAAAAATTTATCTCTTATTATGTAATTTAAAATTAAAAATAAAAAGTCAATTAAATTTAACATTACTTAATTGGTTTATTGTCACATGTCAACAGTTGAAGGTAAGACAAGAAAAAAAATGCTTGTTTTTGTTAGGCTTGATGCCACCAAATATTTCCAAACTTTGCAGAAAAGAAACATTGTCGTTCTTCTACATTAAAGAAAAAAAAAATCATAAAAATCCCTTGACATTGAACAAATGGTCGAGCATCATCCCTCCATTGACTAAAGTTTTCCATTCGCGTTAAAATTCTCATAATTTTTGGCTTTGTCAGTATGATTGTAGTTTTGAGTTTTTTATTTTAATTTTTAAAATTTGAACAATTAAAATTAATAATTAAGACTAAAATTAGAAAATTAAAATTACCAATTTATTAAGTATAAAAGTTTAAAACATATATTCAAAACTCCAAACTTAATTAATTTGTAAAACTACTAAATTTTATTCTAAGATTTTTAAATTTTTAAAAATTTAAACAAAAAGCACCTGTAACTTCGTCCGCTTTGGTCAGATACACTTAAACTCATGATTTCGATCAGAGTTCAAAACTACAGTGTGTAGCTCTCTACTCCTTCCCTCCTCACATCCCCCTGTTAAAAAAAAAAAAAAAAATTAAACTAAAAACTCAAAACCACAACTACAAACCTTTGGTATCTTAATTTTTAGTTTTTGTGCACTTTGATCCTTAATCTTTAGATTTATTCAATTTGGTTCCAATTTGGAATTTTTTACAATTTAATTCCTAAATTTTTTAAATTGTTACACTTAAGTCTTAGAAATTTTAATTTCATAAATTTAGTCCTTTTGTTTAAATAATAAAATTCATATAAGATCCAATAAATTTGCATTCATCACATCCAATCGTAAAAAAGATAAGGATAAAATTGTAAATTAAAATACATAAAATTCATCTAATCAAAGTGAACAATCAAGTTTTTGATACCTAACTTGGGATTCTTAAACATTACAAAAATAAAAAAAAAAAAAAGAACAACATTATGATTAAAAAAAGGGTAAATAAAAGATGCTTACCTTCTTTTCCTTATTATATAATCAAGGCTATAGAAAGAACACCAAAATTATCATCAGTCTATGATTTTTGAACAACCACATATATTCCACATTCACAAGTTATGTCCATATCCTCAAGAATTTCAGCACTTTGATCATAGCACTCTACATGATCTCAAGGCGGTTATTAAAGACCTTTATGGGATAACTAGATATCAAGACTTGATTTTGCACTTTGATGATGTTAATTTTTATATAATTTGTTTACTATTTTTAAGTTGATTTCATTTTTTAATATTTGAATGAGTTTAATGTTCTTTTGTTAAAAGTTCCATGATTGTTATTATTTGTGAAAAAAGGATTATAATGCATGAAATTAGAAATATGAGAACTTAAGTACAACTCTTTCAAAAGTTTAGCTACTAAATTGTAATAAGGAAAGTTGAAATCAAGGACCAAATTGAATAAACTAAAGTTTGAGGATCAAAATCCACATGAATTAAAAGTTAACAGACCCAATGTCATTTTACCATAAATTTGGAGAATTAAAAGGTTGTGTTGACCCGGTTTTCAGTTCCGTCAATAGAGGGATAATGCTTGGCCCTCTCTTGAAAATTAAGGGATTCTTAGGGATTTTTTAAAGTAGTGGGAAGATAATGATTTATTTTGTAAAGTTTTCGATTTTTTAATGATATTAATTCTTTTTGTTATGACTAACTAAAATTCTTTATTTGGGATTAAACTAAAGGATTTAAATTTTTGTAATGACAAACAGTTAATTTATTAATATACAAAAATTGAAAAAAAAAAAACTTGTTTTTGTTTTGAGTAATTTCTTTTTATGCAATAGAAGGTGCTAATCTTGAAATGTACATAAATTGGCTGAGGGCACCTTAATTCTCTTAAATTACCAAAAAAAAAACTCTGTTATCCATATATTAAAATTCCCACAATGACACCTTAACTTTAATGGGAAGGCAAGAGTAAAAGTGGTTTTTTTTGTTTAATTCAATATATATTAAGAGGTTGGTGTTTATTAGTTGAGTTTTTAAAAATTTAAAAGGAAAAATACTTTAAAATTATGTTTTTTTTAATATTTTAATAAAGAACCACAAAAAATGACTAAAATAATCTTATTCTTACTTTAAAAATAAGTTATTTAAGGTTTTTTAATAGATATTTATTAAAATAACATAATTTTAATTTTTTTAAAATTTTTTTATAGATTCTTTTAGTAAACACTTTTCGCATATATTAAATTCTCAAGCCCTACGATTTTTTTACGGTTTAGATTTATTAGTGCAGCATTTTGTTGCACTTTGGCTATAGTTTTAGGCTTTTTTATTTTTTAATATTTTAAAAATTGATAAAATATTATTTACAATTAGTAAAAGTATATTGAAAATTAATTAATATCAATTAAAAATTTTAAATTTTAAATAAAATGCTTAGTGAAAAAGGACTGCACAAAAACTTGTCAAATGAAATTTAAAATTTCCCAGATTTCAAACTTAAATTTTATGGTAACAGAAACAAAAGTTCTTAATTAAATTATAAAAGATGATATCCTTAATTTAAAAAGTTTGAAAGATTTGTTTTATTTTTACCAAATCTCTTTTACATGCTTGTAACTACTAGGAGATTTTAATCATTTAGTATAATTTGCGGGTTTTTTAATATATATATATATATATATATATAGAAGTGCTATATGAATTGACTTTCAAAAAATGTTGTTTCATTAAATCATGGGAGTATGATAACAATATTTTGAAATTAAATTAGTTTACCCATAAAAGTCAAAAATTGTACTCATTAAAGGGTTTTTTCCACAAAAGCTACAAACTCCAATTTCAACATCTTAGAATTTAAATTATTTTTTCTTTTCTTTCCTTTTTTATATTTTTATGTTGAATCAATATTTCTTCTAAATACTTATGTTATTTTAGAAAAAATCTATTTACTATTGTACTTTTGCAACACAAGACAATTTTAAACAACGAGATGCAGTTATTCAAATTTACATTTTTATTGTCAATCTAAACTAAAAGACACTCTTTATAAAAGAAAAAGAAAAGTAAATAATAAGAAAATATTTAAATGTCCTTAATAAATTACATGCAAGTTCTTGAGTTGTGCCCCTCATTCTCATTTAATTAGAATAGTTGAACCCGTTGGTAAATAAATGTAATTTTACAAGTGTAAAATTAAAGTCTTGGGGCCTACATTTAAGGAAATGAATTTTTTTAAATGCATTAAACCGATATGGGAAGTGTATTATTAAAATCATCCAAAAAGAAATTAGTTTCAAAGTGCATAAAAATTAATTTAAAAATACTTTAATCATAAATTTTAAAAAATAATAATAATAAAAATATTTATATGTTTTCACAAGTAATCTTAAAATTTAAAATTTCGGGACATTCGGATTTTTTACTTTTCTTTTTTTTTAAAAAATATTTTTATTTACTTTAGATAAAATTCAAGGGATTTGTTTAGGATTTGGGAATTAAGAGGCGGACCCATTAGCAAAAAAGACAAAAGATCAAGGATAATAATGTAAAACCGAGAAAGCATGTGGGGCTTAGGAAAGCGATTTCTTTTCCTCAGCTGTAGCAGCTGTAAATCAACACGCTGCTGAAATCAGCTCTTTCTCTTTCCCCCCTTTCCCTCTCTCTATTTCTGCATTTATATACGTTTCCATTGCACTTTCCATCTCTTTCCCTTCCACACTCTCCATTTTCATCTCTTTTTTCTCTTCAGTTCCACTTCTACCTGCCATTTTCTGAGGGAGATAGATAGCTTCACATTTATCTAATCTCCTCCCTTAGAATCAGAGTTCTTAGTCCCACTCTGTTTCTCACTCTCAGCCACTTCCATTAGCCAATTTTTGTTTTTTCTGAATTCTGAGTGTAAAGACAGAAAACCCATTTTCAGTTTGTGTTTGCTTCTGTGAAGATCTTGTGTCCTGGCTCTGCTTCAGCATAATCCTCTTGATTCTGTGGAAATGTGGCTCCTTTTTTGGAGGGTGTGTTGTTGAGGATGTTGGGTCTGTGATCATGATGTATCTCAAGATTTTAGGGGTTTATGGTGGTTATAAGGGCTGATTTTTGGCGGCATTTATGGGAGGAAGATTTTGGGAGGATGCATGGTTCAAGAAAGGAAATGGGATTGCTACCATTATTGAGTGTCTCGAGATTTGGCTGTGATTTTTTGGCGTTCAATTGAAATTTCTATCTGCGGCGGCTAGGGAGAATCAGGTACTTGATCTTTCCTTAACACAGTAGCCGTTATCACATCTGGGTGATTCTGCTTCTGTGTCCAAAATTGGAAACCATATAAGTTGCTGCTGGATTGTCTGCTGTTCTTGCTGATATAATTTATTTATTTTTTTTAAATTTCTTTGATTTGGGTGGTTTATGGGGGAAATGCTAAATGAAAGTCAAGAGTTTAATTTCTTTGATAAAAGAAGTGAAAATGCAGCAAAGATTCTTGGTTCTTTTCTGCCTTTGAGAGCTTCTTTTACAAGATTCTAAAGGGGTTCAACGGTTGAAACTTGAAGCCTTCAGAGCTGCTTTTGAATACAGAAGAATATATTCATTAACACAGTATCCCTTATCACATCTATGGGCAACTAGACAGACATCAATTATGGATTTGCCAGGTTGTGAGAAGTAATCCTGAAGCTTTTTTGGAGAGAATTCTATATTGTTTCTGAATCTTGGGTATTAAGTCAGGATTGTATCTTTGGATTGTTGACTTTCTCTGAGTATTTTATTCAGTTTTTCAAATTTAGTGAGTGGCATTGTGCTGAAATTTGACAGCTTGAAGCATCAATGGGGCTTCTTGGAAGTCTCACGATGATTGTTCTAGCATTGTTCTTCTGGTTGACGGGTCTCAGGGCTCAATCTACTACTGGCTCTTCAGGAAGCTCTGCACGAGCACTTGATGCTCGTCTTCAAGACTATGCTTACAGGGCTTTTGGTCGTCCAAAGACTGGAGTAACCTACAATGGGGTTGTCCCTTCTAATTTGACTGGGATTAAGATTGCAGCAATGAGGCTCAGGAGTGGGAGCTTGTGGAAAAGAGGTGTGCAGATGTACAAGGAATTTGTTATCCCCCAGGGAGTTACTGAGGAGCCTTATGTGGAAAGGCTTGTTTTGGTGTATCAAAACTTGGGTAATTGGTCTCTGCAGTATTATCCACTATCTGGTTACACTTACCTGGCTCCAGTGCTTGGGCTTCTTGCTTATGATGCTTCAAACTTAATGGCCACAAATTTACCAGAATTAGATATTAGGGCATCTCGTGATCCCATATCGATCAGGTTCTCAGATGTGAAACTGGCCCCAGATGGGTCAGTTCCAAAGTGTGTTTGGTTCAATCTTCAGGGCTCTGTAAATTTCAGTGATGTGGCGTCAGGCAATGTGTGTACAACAATCCAACAAGGACATTTTTCTATAGTTGTTGAATCTACTGCTCCTGTTCCAGCCCCGAAGTCTCCCATGCTCCCACTATCTCCAACCATCCCAAGACCAAGTGGTGAGGGAAAAAAGACTGGTAAAAAAGTTGGGATAATTGTTGGGTCTGCACTGGGTGGACTACTGTTGTTAGCGCTGTTGGCAATACTGGTAGCCTGGGCACAGAAATATAAGGAGAAGAAGAAAATGCATGAGATGGAGAAAGCTGCAGAGGTGGGAGAAGCTCTGCAGATGACCTTGGTTGGGGAAACAAAAGCACCTGCAGCAACATGGACTAGAACGCAACCAATGCTTGAGACTGAATACGTTCCTTAACTCCCACAACTCCAGATTTGTACAAGCACTCTTATTCAAGTTCAAATTCATGCATTCAGATATATCTTCTACTTGCACCTTTTTTGTTAGATGTCTCCCTTCCATCCTCACCTTTGCTCTTGGTAGGCTCTTTGGTTGTAGTGTGGGTATTATAGGAGTTCTGTGTAAATCTGTCATCTCTCACAAAATCCATTCATATGATTCATCGTGTGTGCATCTAGCCAAAAGTGATTCTATTTTGTGATAAATTTAGTTCAATTGACAAGAAATAAAACTTTTTCTTTTTTGTGCCTTGCCTTTTCTGGTATGTTTTTCTCCATTCTGAAGAACCTATGATGAAGATGGTGGTTGGTTTTGGTGTTCACATTGTTAGAGTGGTATGTGCTATGAAGCAAAAGGGATGGCAGACTATCAGCTATTTTCCACTACTTGTTTATTTATTTTGTCTAGGGCCTTTCTGACTTTAACCTTTGTCCTCGTGTCCTCAGCTTCACCAAAACAAAAGATGCTTTCACAAAAGTATTCACAATAATACAGGAAAGGACAAGCTACCAAAGTTGGCTTCATTTTGAGAAAAAAAAAATATATGTATCTGTTGAGGAGCACCACCACCAGCAGCAGCTATGAAACTAAACAGAAAGGAGTCAGATTCCACCAAGGAAAATACTGGTTGATATTTATGTTAATCAATGAAATCAATATTGGGTAATTAAAGTGGTAACCGTACTAAACCAGCCTCAGTTAGCCGGTTGATTCTTCTCAAAATTTGGGGTCTCTAACTTCTTAGGACTTGAAAAATACCTCTTTCCCCAACTCCCCATGTTAAAAAAATAATAGTAAGCAAGCCAGCTTCTCACACAATTTATTGGTATTCAATTGATGACATAGAGAGAGTGCTTCTCTTTCTAAAAGGGTAATTCTTTATTGGCTAGGGAGAAAGGACTTATATGTAACAATGATACTATATCTATCACATAACGAGTCAATAACAATTTAACATAAATTTATAAATGAGATTAAATGAATAAAAAGGGAATCAATTATTAATTTATTAGTATCAAAATTCTAAACTATTTTATCTTGAGGTAGATTACATAACTATTATATAATAAAATCCTTCTTTAAAAAATGCTGATGTATTAAATTTTAAGACCACTAAGTGAAAAGAACAAATCATAAGGTTTTGGCAGCAACTTTTTTGCCTTTTTTTACTCAGTTTGCAAAGCATATTCTACTCTACAATGTAGTTTGAGTTGAGTTGAAATCAGAAGAGATAATTTTCAATAACCTTTTTTTATTTACGGTTAAAATATTTTTATGTGTGTTTTTACATGTTTTAATATTAGTTTTTTACAAATAAAAGCATCTTTTACTTAATACATTCAAAAAAAATTACTTTTTTAAAACATTAATCTTAAAATTTGAATTTAAACTGACCTAATCCTTTTTTTTTATAACATGACATTAAGTGCGTGCAAAGTTTCTTTAAAAAAGCAAAAGGAAAACGCACAGGAAAAAGTTGGACGTATATTAGCCAGTGGGCGTCGGGTTCAATTTGATTAACCAAAGCACCAAACTGAAAATTTTGGTTAGTGAAGAAGTTCTGTTATTGAAACTTTTTTTTTCATAACTAAACTATTTTTTTTTTTATTTTTCAGAATAAATTTCAATTAACTAAAAATTTTTTATTTACTCGGGTTTCAAATTCAAATTAACCAAAATTATGGCATTTAAAATTTTTATTTATAAATACAGTTATTTAATTTAAATTCTTTTAGTTCAATCAAATTCCATTAATTAAACACCAAAATAACCAAAATTTCAATTTAATTTAATAACGGGTATTTTTAGTTATTTAATTAAAACTCTATAACCATACCCAAACGGAAAAGATTCAATTAAATTTAATTTTAACCGAATGAATTAAATTTAAGAAAATTTAAAAAATCAGTAGATTTGAAATACAGTTAATTCAGTTATAAGCGTATTAACCCACCAAACTGGAAAATCGGAGAAACAATGCAAATCTCTGCCGGTAGCCTTTGAAAGGGACTTTATGGGGTATCTACTTCTAAACAGAGGGACCCATGTGAAACTCTAGCCTTTTTGGCTGTCATTTTTAATTAATTTGACATCTTAATTAAAAATAAAATATTAATTATCCTCTCCCCTCACTTCATTTTTAATAAGTTTATTTTGGCTTTTTAATTTTGTAATTATAAATTTTAAATAAAAATTTAATATATTATATAAATAATAATAAATATTTTTTTAATTAAATAAAAATATTTAACAAGGACTTCACAAAAAAATAAAAAATTTTAATTATTATTTATATAAATTATTAAATTTTTATTTAAAATTTATGTTTAAAAAATTAAAAAATTAAATTAAACTTAATAAAAATAAATAAAAGAGTATTAATTAATTTTGAAAATAAGTTAGAATGCTCAAAAATCATAGACATGTATTTAAAAAAAAAATAGTCAAATTAATATTTTTTTTGAACAAATTTTTAATAGGTCAAAATGAAACCGTTACTCTGAAAGAAAAAAAATACATTTATACGTGACTTAACACTACTAGATCAAAAGCTTAAGTGCAAATTAATATTTATTATCTAAAAAATCTCAATTTAAAATTAAATTTATGAGCTGAATCTTTATCTAATGTTTAGAGAAATTAACACAAAATGTTTTTCTTTTTTTATTGGTTAAAGATTAACACCAAATGTTAAAAAGGAAGAAAAGGACAAACAAACATCCACCCGGCAAATCCAGAGTCGGTCCTTTTCTGCTTTATGATTGATTTTTTTGTACTGGACCACCCTGGATTTTCAATTGGTCACCAACTTTATTAAATCAAACCAATTAATATTAATTATATTGGGGGGATTCATCTCATGTGAACCACCAGAAAATTAGTTGTGGTGGAAGAGCCTGCCAAATTTTTGATATATATTTAGGGGTGTTTGGATCGAGATTACAAATAATTATTATTGGTTAATTTTAATTAAATAAATTATATATTTTAAATTATAAATAATTATTATTAATTATTAAATTTTAACTATTAATTATCAATTACGTTTAAACAATTAATTTACGTAACCGCTTATTCTTTCGGAACAAAAAAAACATAAAAGTTTAGGCAGAGATGTTACCTGATTTCAAGGCCCATTGCTGCCACTAATTTCAATAAAAACTTAT